GAACCCTGATTATATTCAGGTTATTTGTTTTGACCATTTCATTGCAATTGGATTTTAATTTTATTTGACTTACTTTTGGAATTTTCTACAAATTTTCAAACGGTTCCTATTTGCATATTTTGACAGGTTATTAGGTAAAATGATGGACAAAGACTTGAATATATTGTCCTTTAGAGCGCTATTATGAAAGAAAGGTATAATATTTCGTCTGGAGAAATACTTCTAACACAACAAGGCATTCAAAAAAAAATTTTAATAATAATTTTTGAGCAGGTCAATTGGTCAATTTAAACAAAAAATAAAAACTATAATTAATAGTAAATAAACTTTGTCTATGTCGAAAATAGGCAAAAATGACTCAAATTTTCTTTTATGTAGCAAAGTTATTCTTAAAACTGAGGCAATAATCCAAGTTGAAGACCTCTAAATTAATCAGCAATGACGAATGTCTCAAATTTTATTTTATTAACTATATTTTATATGACTTCACTAAATAACAACTGAAGAACATCGACACAAATGAATTTGAATTGAAAAGATTTTATTCCTTCTGAAGTGATAATTGGATATTTCAAAATCGCTAATAAAAAATAACTGGCATTGATTGCACGTCTCAAATAAAATACAAGAAACATATTGTTCATATTTTTTTTATAAATATTGAGAATAATTTTTTTAATGATGCAATTGTTCAAGCAATTTTCAAAACCCTTATGCAAAACTTCTTTAAATACATTTTTTAAATATTGTATATTGCTTTTACTAGTGTAGTGATCGATATTATTTCTTTTATTAAAAACAATAACTTCAATTATTTATCTCCAAATACGCAACTTTAAACAGTAACAAATCTTCGACAGATGTTTTCGATACCAATTTATTGTAAAATTATTCTGCTGTTTATTTTAGTACAGTTTATTGGCACTTTTTTATTATATTTAATCTATTTTAGTGAGTTTTGGTTAGCAATTTAACTGTTTCTTCTTTTCTCGTTCGTTTTCAGTGCTGTTAATTGATACTTTGACCGCTATTAATTTTAATGTTTACACTTCAGTTCAGTTAAAAACTAAACGCATTTGTAATTTATTTAAAATTAGTTAAAATTTATGTAAGTAAGTAAGCTTATTTTGTAATATGTATGTTTTATTAGCTTACCTGTGCAGTCTTTAAGTATATTTTATTTAGACCTAACTCTTGTAATGTATTTTTGATGCTTATATTGGTTGTATATATGTATACGAATATAATTCACAAACAAATTTGCCAACTTTAATGTATTTTATTAATAATAGCTTTCTCAATTTTTTATAGATAATTTGATGGCATTTAATCTTAAGATATTGAATGCATTTCTGCCTAACTTTTAAGTTGTTTTCATAAAAAGTTTTATATATTTAGGCAAAAAAAAAAATAAAATTTGTGTAGTTGATTGCAATTTCTTTTATATTTATGATTTAAATAATTAAAAAGTATTACGCATTAATATTATAGAAAGTTCAATCGCAGATGCAATTTTCTCTGTGAGGTGTTTTGTGAAGGTCATTCAAATCCGGCTATTAAGTCACTAACAACATTGGTGTGAAAGCACTTATTATTGAAAGTAATTTTTTCTATTACTTATCCAATCTGTATTTGATCGAACCATTATCAAGTTAAAATAGTTCAAAAGTTATTATCAATGCAATATGGTTCAGTGTTTTTTCTTTTAAAGAGATCAAGTCATTATTTTGTGTTAAAACAGCTGCAGAGCAATCAATGTTAAATGGTGTAACCACAAGTTTTCATCAAATTGTGAAAAGCTTGCTTAAAATGGCGTAACATTAGGGATTAAGAAAATCTCTTTGAAACAATATCGTATTAATACGAATAATCTGCTATAGTTTTGTAGATCCTAGTTTTGGTATCTTATTATTTATGTTTTTATTTCTTGCATACTGGAGACGTAAGTAGACGTTGAAATGATTTTTCTAGTATTCCAGATTCCTGATGGAATATAATTTAATTTTTTTTTTTAACTTTATTATTATTTTGATTGTTTAATTATGAAATTTATGTAGTAGTTCTAGTTTTTAATAAAAAAATCGGTTTTGTTAAAAAATATTTTTTAAAATATCACTAATTTGTAAATTAGATGTATTAAATAAAACAAGAGACCATGTTGAAAGCTAGAAATTTATTTTGACCGATTTTAGATAATTTCAGTAATTTAAAAAAATATTTATTTTATTAAACAGTCATGATAAGTTAATAATATATATAAATCTGTAGATATAAAGTTCCTCGACATAGCAATATTGAAGGATATGAACTAGCAGATGAGATGGCCAGAAGAGCTTCTGAACTGCATATAGCAGAGACTGACCTCACAGTACATACACCAATATGTGAACTATTTAGGATGATAGAGGAAATCACCAACACGGTGACAAACAATTTATGGACTAACCGTGAAGACTGTGAGGTTAGTAGAACCTTATGGCCTAGGTTGACTTCAGCAAACCTGCAGTTCGTGTGATCACTGGAGTACAAACGGGGCACTGTGCCATTGTACCTTACTCCAACGGTGGCGAATTCCAACAAGCTGATTATGCAGGAGTTGCCAAGATGAAGAGGAGGTGGAATCTATCAACCACTTCCTTTGTCTCTGTAAAGGATTTCAGACAAGGCGACTTCAATGTCTTGATGATTGCTTTTTCACTGACTGGGAAGAGATAACGAAAGCAAACTTATCGGATCTCCTCAACTTCATCTGGAAAACCAAATGGTTTAACAAGGATTACAAAGGTTAGCAACTTGCCGGCAAGATTTTTGAAGGCATTACAATGGGTAATATATGCTTCCGAGTGGAAGTGCTGACAACGGTCAGCACGCGCCTTCCGAACCTAACCTAACCTAAGTTCTCGAATTCATTTCAGGCTTCAGTCTCTCAATACTCTTTCTAACTAAGTCTATGATAGTAGTTAAATATCATATAATGATTAACACATTACATATAATTGATTAACAACACTTGTATATAACAAATTGTTATATCAGTTTTCATTATTTTATTTGTGGTTGGGATTATATTTTGAAAGCTTCAACCTATAATTATATTATGAATATAGCCGTTATAGTATATCAGGATTACATTAAGACCGAAAAGTTTTCGGAAATTCTCATTTAAAATTCGCGCGCTGTATATTTTTCGATATTTTAAGTTTATGTAGTTTGGCAGCAATTAAGGACAATTACTATGCCAAAAATGAGCGCGATCTGTCAGACAGTTCGTTTACGGCAGCTGTTGAAACCAGTTCACCTCAGTAGTGCGTTGCGAAAAACACAATGGAAAAAAATATTGAACAAAGAGTTTGCATCAAATTTTGTGTTTCGAACGAAATTTCGTGTGCAGAATCGTTGCGAATGCTACAAAAGGCTTAAGGGGAATCAGTTTTATCGAAAACTCAAGTTTATGAGTGGTACAAAGCCTTTCAGGACGGTCGTACGACCGTCGAAGACATTTCGCAACGCACTACTAGGTGAACTGGTTTCAACAGCTGCCGTAAACGAACTGTCTGACAGATCGCGCTCATTTTTGGCATAGTAATTAAGGACAGTGCTGCCAAACTACATAAACTTAAAATATCGAAAAATATACAGCGCGCGAATTTTAAATGAGAATTTCCGAAAACTTTTCAGTCTTAATGTATGTTGATAATATCTCGTAATCCACACAGAATTGCAAATATTGAGATAGTACCGGCTATTCGGTTTTTTCAGTATTTGAACATTTTAAGATGATTTGTTTAAACTATTCTATTTGGTGCAAATTCAGATATTATTATATTATGGATATAGCCGTTATAGTATATCAGGATTATGTTAATAATATCATGTAAACTACACAGAATTGCAAATATTCAGATAGTTTAGGCTATTCCGATTTTTTCAGTCTTCAAACAATATGTTTGAGCTATTCGAACTATGTGGTGCAACTTCGGATATTCGTATCTAATAGTTTGAGTTTTATATTATTCAAAGAATATAAACAGTACTAGTATTAGTTATTATAATGACATTTCGAAGAAAAATTGTATGAAATTTTATAACACAAAACTCTTATTATTATTAAGTTAACGTAAACGTTTAGAACTACAACATAATAGTTCATAAAGTAGAACAACTAAGCACAAGTTCATTAAAACGAATAATACTTAAAAAAAAATGTGAATGTGCATATAAAATCCGATTGTCAAATCACTTATGATCTCATAATTTGTATCTGACTTTAGCCTAGATATTCGAAAATCGATTTATTAGGTGAGGTCTCAAACCTTCATAATTTGAAATAATTTTATGTTCGTTTAAAAAAATGATTGATTAACATTTAATTTGGTAATTGAAGTATTAAACTTATTGTATGACATTTAATTTCTCACATGAATAAATGAATCTTGTGGATAACGATCTATTATTCAGAAATATTTAAGCCAAAAGAGGTTTATTGCGATGAAATACTGACAAATTTCTTAAACTTATATAATAAAAATAAATTTTATAAAATTAGTGAGTGAATATAAATACTATAAAAATTATTATTGTTTCTATTTTAAGCTCAATAAATCAAGTTATATGGAAAATTAAAAAGAAATAATTATTTAAAAAAATATAAACTTTGTTTATTACACAATTAATGAACAAAAGGTATAATTCAATCAAATAAAAATTAGAAAGTATAATTAAAACTAATATTATATTAAATTACAATATTTGTAGGCAAACTTCTTATTAATTCAAATTGATTTTCAGTTTAATAAATCAAATTTAATTTTTAATAAATCTACAAAAATTATAAAAGTTATTAATGTATTTTATTTTTAATGTATTCATATGTAATGTAATTTATTTTAAATTATGTATATTTTAAGTTGCTTTTTTATTAAAATTATTTATTTAAATTTAATATTCAATTAATATTTAATTTGGAGTCTAATTTGTTTCAATTTTATATTTTTTCTTACCAACAAATGTGGTGTTTTCATTTTAGAAAATAAAATTTTTTATAATAATTCTCTGAAATTCTTTCTGTTTAACAGTTATTTTTCTATATATAGTTTTCACTATGCAAAAATCTCTCTGTTGTAATTTCACTGTTTACTTCACTTTATCTACTTTATCTACACTTTTCACTGTTTCTATTTGCACTTTTGTTTAAGCCAAGCTTCAAGTCAACCGTTACAAAGCAGCATCAATGGTTAAATGTTTTCAATCAAAGGCTTCCATTGCTGTTTTATACCAGGCAGAGCCGAAGTCGCAATGGATAGCTTTCTTGGAAGAGCTTTGTGTTGGAAGTTGTGGCTGGTGTGCTGGATAAATAAGTAGAGATTGAGACTTAAGCACATCCGGCGGAAATTTCATTGAAAATATTCTAAGCTAAGCTTAAGCTCCAAGTTTTCACAAGCGAAGCTTAATTCTATGTTTTTGAAGTTTTCATAGATTACTAACTAGGTTTTTCTGGAACCTTTCAAATTCGCAATGTTTTCTTTTTTTTTTATATACCATTGAATGTATCTTGAAACTGTAACAGAGAAATAATAAGCTAATTTACGTGTCATGCATTTGAAGTACCTTTCTTATTTTGTGTCTTCCACTGCACAATTCAATTAAATTTAAGTACGAGCGTGCATTGCATAAAATAAGTAGAGTAAATTGCGTAAGAAAGTGAGTTTAAGTAGGGATCACAATTACTTGAAAAGTTTAAATTGTTATGACATGTTCACAATTTTCAAAAATATTATGAATATTTGACATAATATATTTCGTTTATTGCAAATATTCATATTTATCTTATATATAACTTTTAAAAGCATATTGTTGCTTTTTTTTTACCAAAATATTTGCCCTTCAGAGAACAAGATAATACAAACCTTAAGTTACAATACATATTCTTGATCACCACGACGAGTCGAATTTATCTATGTTTTTGTGAATCTGTTTGCTGATTTTAATATAAATCAACTTTTTAGTTTTTAAATTAGACGTTGGCCCTAACGTCGTCAAATGACCTGATTTGGTTTATTATTTATGTGCTTTTTTTACTTTTATTATATGAACAATACAATAAGAACTTTAATTACTTAAAAATTATGTATAATATTTTTGTATATTTGAAATTTATTAAATAATAAATGGCCATAATTTTTAAGATCTTAACAAATTTTATTTGAATGGGATTATGCCAGATATTGGAATAATAGTTTCTCAGTTTTTTGGTTCATTGGCTTAAACTGCACAAAAGCTTTGGATTAATCCAAATTAATTGAAGTAATAAATTCACAAACCATTTCTTGTAGTACCTATATAAAATAAAAGCTTAAGAAGCTTATATTTTTAATACATATACAACGATGTACGATGATACGATGGGGGACGGTTTAGGATACTAAAAATATAAGAGGTATCAGATCCAACTCAAAATAAAGCTTTTTACTTCAAATTGCACTAAAACTAAATTGTTTTTTTAATAATTCTGTTCGCATTTTCAACTACACAGCACAAAATACAGAATTGGAACCTTATCCATTTACTGAAAGAAGATGTAGATGTTTAAATTGATAAGTAGCAAGTGTGTAGTATATTACAATAACCAAAATAAGAATCAGGTGGTTAATGTTTAGTAATAGAATATTGAATATTTTGCTGCAAATCTTGGTATGGATCAAAAACTGCACTGGAAAGAGCATATACCTATACAAAACCGCATGAACGAAATGAACCGCATTGAAGATTTGGACAAGTATATTAGTTGCTTGACCCAAACTCAACTCTATCAATTGCAATCAAATTATTAATCTATAAGATAGTTATTACAACAATCTAAAGATATGGGCTCAAAATGTGTGGTACCGGGAACAAGTCAAATATTCAAATAATATAAAGGTTACTAATCTAAATACTGAGAACTATTGCTAACACAGGATGGTACATTATGGAACAATGACTTACATAGATGGACTAAATGATAGAATTATTCTGTAAATACAGTATAAGGCATATAATGTAATTACTCTCTCATTTAAAAATTTCAGTTTCCAGCAGAGAAGTTACAGTATTACTTCGAACCTAAAGCTCTGTTTACTAAAACTTGCAATTATATATAAGTGGTTAATATCTGTCAACTACATATTATATATATATACATGTTAATATATTATATTATAAAATACATTTATATATTAATTTTATTTTAAGTTTAAATTTGAATTTACTATTATAATATATTTAATGTTTATTTCTTTAAACCAAGAGTACAAATTTAATAAAATTATTTATTATGTACAACAACCTTTTAAGCTCTATACATTTTTCATAAACTTGTTTAATACCTACAGTAACAGACGTTTAAAATGTTAAAGCTTTATGCTGTTAATAACAGTCGCAAAAGTTTTGTACTAACAGAAAAAGCAATTTGTTATTCAGTTAAATTAACACTTCTAAAGTAAATATGAATATATATGTCCTATACATATATATAAAATATGTCCTAAAATATATATGTCCTATACAGTTTTTGGGCCGTCCTAATTTTAGGTAAATGTAAAACTGCCTAAAGATACCAACCTTCTGCGCCGATAATTTTTCTACTTATACTTTGCAAAGTACGTTCTTGGATTTTGTACTAATACTTGCTGTAAAAATTTTAATAGTAATGGCCTCGACGCTTTACTAGTAAAAAATGTTACAACAAATGGTTTTTTTATTTAATGACACTAGATGTAATAAGAAAGTGAATCTTATTAATCTAATTAACAGCTGAGACATATCAGTTCTTGTTAATATCTTAATAAATAAGCTGGTGAAAAAATGAAATAAAAGAAGATGAAGAAAAGGATAACAAAATAGTAGCTTATCGAACCTCAACAAACTAGGTTTCCGCTTGATCTAAAATCTAGGTAGTGAATCATTGTGTCATTTATAATATTGATCGACTGTTAGTAAACGCTAAATATGTATTTCAAGCGGAAGTGATGGAACTTAAAATTGCTTCTGATATACTATTGGAAAATCTTATACCGGAAATTGCTATCAGATTCTTTAATGATACCTAATCAGCTATAAAAGCCCTACACTTTCCATATTCAAATATAAAGTCATCGTATCCTGTGTCATATTTGTAAACGCGATCAGCAGAAATCGTACTTTTATATGTTGATATTCTAATACAATGCCATATGGTTTTTCAATAAAGTCAAGACTAGATTTTTCTCATTTTTAATTTTTTATTCGCTTTTCAATACATATTTTAAGAGAATCTAATAAGTTGACAATATATGCACCTAGAATTTTGAATGTTGTTGATTAATAAACAAATTAAAATTTGTGATGTTTGAAAAATTATGAGATATATTAAAATGTTCATTGTATTGGCGATCAAAACTAGAATATCAGTCCCAAATTTATCGATCTGATAGAAAATAAATTTTTAGAAATACATCAAAAAAGTGGATCAATGAAATTTTAAAATGGAAAAGTTTCTTCATTATATTTTCTAAACAATTACGAGTATGTGAAAGTTTATTTAATTAATGCTAAAGTAGACATCATTATATATTGATTAGTTCTAAAAGCGTCTATTTCTGCCAAAACGAAAAAACGTGTATTCTGGTTTTCTAGCATAGAATATTTTAAAATATTATATTTGTAATTAGTATTAAATTATAAATTAGTGTTTAACATTTATATTTATTAATGGAATTAATTAAACATCTTAATTGCTAATATTTATTATTATTAGTTTATTAATAGTTTTTCTCTCATTACTTACTATTTGTTATACTCATAGTATTTTCTTCGAGTCACGGGAACTTCTCACGTTTCAAGCAATCGAGCAAATGTTTAGTTACTAATTTTTATTTGAAGTAAATTTTATTTGAATGTATAAGAAATAACAATAAATTTATAAATGTAAATAATTTTTTGTAATATGATTAATAATACTAAAACTTATATATATGCGAACTTATTATAAAATGTATAGCCATGCAATTTTAAGTACATTCAAGTAAATATCATTTTTATAATTGGTTTTTCGTACGTATAAAATACATGTTGATTTTGCTTTGATATCACAGTTTGCAGTAAATCTAATACTAAAGGATAATCGTTTACTTTTTACTTTTGTACATCCTTCATCAGCATTAAAGTCACTGCGCCAATGAGGCCACACACACCCATAATACTCATCGGTAACAAAGGATCAACATGTTCCTAATAAAAAGCACAACAAAAGCAATTTTTATCTTTTTACTACATAAAAGTAAGTCAAAACAAAATATTTACCAAAAGCCACATATAAGGGACCAGCACAAGGCCAACACCAGCAGCCAAATTGCCCAAACCAACGCCAAAGTTACGCACTACAGTGGGATACTGCATGGCTGTGTAGGTTGGTATGATGGCATTATTAGCGCCAATAACACATTTTGCTGTTTAAAATGTCAATAAAAAAAATATTTAAATTGATTATATTATTCCAATTTGTATTAACTGAAAAAGGACTGCTCTTACTTACCAATCATAGCCAATGTTATGACCCATTTTAAATTGTCATCACCTTGTGGCACAATATTTGTGGCCAAACAACAAATTCCTGGTATCAACATATAGGCAATGAGGTTACGTCGTAAGCCAAACTTTAGCACAATGACGAGACCCACACATATGGAAATGGCTTCAACAATGCCCGCAATAGCCTTTAAGGATTACAAAAAAATAAATTGATAAAAAATTGTATAGAGAGTGTGTGATACTAAAGAGAATAAATTTTAAAGAAATGAAAGGACTTCCATTTAAATAGTAAATCAAAATGTTTACAAGCATAGATTGCTATCTAACATTTTAATATATACGGTATTCAACAATGCTTATTTTACTATGTAAATGTAGAAATATACTAGTATTAATATGCAGATAAAACGAACGAATTTTTGCATAAAGTGCTACTCACACACTTCCACTTACCGTGTTCATATAAATGTTGCCACCTAAATTACTGAGATGCAAAGTCAAGCCAAAGTAAATAATAATCAATGTCAACCAAATAATCAAAGTCAAGCAAGTAGTGCGTCTGTAAAGTTTACCGAAAACCACTACCAATGGATTCGTATTGCCATCAATGCTATTCGTCACAGTACTTCTGCTGTCCTTACTGGCTTCACTCACACTCGTATTAGCATTTTCCATAGTTGCTTGCATTTTTGCTGTGGAATGCACTGTTGCCGGTGCTGCTGCTTCAACAGACTTCTGATAATTTACAGGTAGGATGCGTCTATTCATGCGGGCGGCACGTTCAATAATTGCATACAAATCTTTGAGTTGTCCACGTGCAAGTAGCCAACGTGGAGATTCTGGCATGCAATACCTAAAATGTGTAAACAAACAAGTTTTCAATCATATGTGGGAGTACATATTGTGTTAATTAAACTTTTTTTGATTAAATATATTGTTATGGTTGTGTAAGTATACTATATTAAAATTATATGTAGTATCTGAAATTATTTGATAGCAGTTTGTTATGTTCCTCAGCTAAATATATGATGATTATCGGTTATCATAATGCAGAGTTTCAAGGTAAATGCATTAATGTAGTGAAACTAACTTTCTAAATAAGCTAAAAGTGTGCAGTACATGCTCTAATACAACGTAAAACCAAAGAATCTATAGTACAAAGAAGTGCCACGCTCATACAAACGAAATACCCACTTTATTTTGCTGGTGGATTTATAATAAATCCACCCAACCTCATGCAACAATGTTCGATCGAGTCACAACTGGTATGATGTTCAGTTCAAACCTATATGTGAGTCGAGTAAGGCTGACAAAAACCTGACTGCATACGTATTCAATCATACATGCAACCCTCTGTATTACATTATATGCATGTTTGTATGTTTGTTCGCTGTAAAATGTTCAAGCGATCAAACAGCATTTCAGTGACGAAATCAAAATTGTGTACATTTGATAAGTTTTTGAATTTAATAGTATAAAACAAAAACAAAATTACTATTGGTATGAATTGTAGTGTTAAAATACATTACAAATTTATTTATGTCTCATATCTGATTTCTTCAATTCTATGAAGCTTTATTCTTAAATGTTGTCCATGCGCAATGTTTCCAAAGCAATATCGTAATCATCAATTTTAACATTTCAATCCGGTGTAAATAGCATTCATGCGTTTCCTCAAACCAGGAGGCATTATTAGTGGTTTTAGTGACTTCTACACATTTTTTCATCCTAATTTTTCTTACATTTCTAATATTTTTATTTTTTTTAAAATACTTTTCAAAAACTTTTATATGAATCTTGCAAATATTTTTTAAAATAATTACAAAAAGTCACCAAAAATTCAAACTATTAAGAAGTAGTTCCATTTGAGGTAAAATATATGCACAAATGTGCAATAAAAACATACCTATTTATGTACTGCAGACTTAATGTCTCCAATATCACATTTGTACATACATAATAGTTTTTGTAGTGCATTTTTTGCAATAAAAAAAAATATATTCTATTACTCTTTACTCCTATGATATGAGCCTTTTCAGTACAAGAAAATAAAGCAACAAAGTATATGGTAAAATTGTTTCAGGGATTTCTTTACCATTCACTTCGCTACTAATCAATGTACATATATTAATTAAATAGACAAATAAAAACAAGAAAGGCAAAAGAAACAGGCATATAAAAACAATTGTGGGTTGCAATGAGTTTGAACTGAACATCATACCAGTTGTGACTCGATCGAACATTGTTGCATGAGGTTGGGTGGATTTATTATAAATCCACCCAACCTGATGCAACAATGTTCGATCGAATCACATCTGGTATGATGTTCAGTTCAAACCTATATGTGAGTCGAGTAAGGCTGACAAAAGCCCGACTGCATTCGTATTCAATCATACATGCAACCCTCTGTATTACATTATACGCATGTTTGTATGTTTGTTCGCTGTAAAATGTTCAAACGATCAAACAGCATTTCAGTGACGAAGTCAAAATTGTGTACATTTGATAAGTTTTTGAATTTAATAGCATATGAAACAAAATTACCTGTTTGCTATTGTTATAAATTGTAGTGTAAAAACACATTACAAATTTATTTATGTCTCAAATCTGATTTTTTCCATGCTATGAAGCTTTATTCTTAAATGTTGTCCATGCGCAATGTTTCCGAAGCAATATCGTAATCACCAATTTTAACATTTCAATCTGGTGTAAATAGCATTCATGCGCTTCCTCAAACCAGGAAGCATTATTAGAGGTTTTAGTGACTTCTATATATTTTTTCAATATAATTTTTCTTACTTTTCTAATATTTTTATTTTCTTTAAAATACTTTTCAAACACTTTTATATGAATCTTAAAAATATTTTTTAAAATAATCACAAAAAGTCACCAAAAATTCAAACTATTAAGAAGTAGTTCCTTTTGAGGTAAAATATATGCACAAATGTGCAATAAAAACAAACCTATTTATGTACTGCAGACTTAATGTCTCCAATATCACATTTGTACATACATAATAGTTTTTGTAGTGCATCATTTTTTGCAAGAAAAAAAAAATGTGTTCTATTACTCTTTACTCCTATGATATAGGCCTTTCCAGTACAAGAAAATAAAGCAACAAAGTACATGGTAAAATTCTTTCAGGGATTTCTTTACCATTCACTTCGCTACTAATCAATGTATATTAATAAAATAGACAAATAAAAACAAGAAAGGCAAAAGAGACAGGCATATAAAAACAATTGTGGGTTGCAATGAGTTTGAACTGAACATCATACCAGTTGTGACTCGATCGAACATTGTTGCATGAGGTTGGGTGGATTTATTATAAATCCACCAGCAAAATAAAGTGGGTATTTCGTTTGTATGAGCGTGGCACTTCTTTGTACTATAGATTCTTTGGTAAAACGATCACGTGTAATATATGTAATATATTGTAATTGTCTTATTGCAACTTCATATCTGTTACAATCCTGTCTTTATATTAAAATTAAAAAAATTAATAATTAGATAGTATAACGATTAAAAGAGAAAGTTTGTGATATAGCAAATGCTAAGTCATACAGTGAAATTTTATTGATGTAATGGTTTTCCATCAATTATTTGTAAATTTTCATAACTCTAGACACGACAGTCCATACTCATCTGAGGAAAATAAGTTTAATAAGTGAATAACATTTTTTAGAAATGTTATTACCACATATCAACACTTTTGTAATATTTTTATAGTTTTTATATGTTCAACGATTCATAGTGTAACAAAGAATATACTAAATTAATACAACTATGTTGAACTTGTCAATAGGTCTCTCAAATCAGGACCATGAAATGGATGACCATGTAATTCAAATAATTACAAATTTAGCCGCAGACTACTGTGATATGCATTCAATTTAAAAACTTTTAATCAGGGACCGAAAATAACAGTTGTTTTAAAATTTTTTATGAAAAAAAGCAGCAACAAAAAGTTGTCTAAACTCTTATTTAAGTAAATAGTTATCATTCTAATAACTTTTATCCTTAATATTATGCATGCTTTTTATATATGAGCTTTTTAAAATAAAACTCAAAAACTAATAATTAAATTTGATTTTTATTATATTCATCAAAAATAATAATTATTATATGCCTTTTATTTTTTTCGCGCAGAAATAACTCTTAAAATTTGCTTCTTATTTTAAAACGCACAAATAACTGGTACACTTGCGTTATATAATATAAAAAGCAAGAGTATCGCGCAAATTCTGCGCGATATTTTTAAAATGAAAATATAAAATGCAATTTTCATACAAGGTAGTTGTTTTTGCAATTCCATAGAAAATGTTTGAAAAGGTTGGTGCAGGTAAAGATTTAGTTCAGTTTTTTGTTTTTGTATTTTGGATTCATATTTTGTATTTAATATTTGTATTTTGTAGGAGAACAAATTTGTATGCAAAATACAAAAACAAAAAACTAAACTAAATCTTTACCTGCACCAACCTTTTAAAACATTTTCTATGGAATTACAAAAACAACTACCTTGTATGAAAATTGCATTTTATATTTTCATTTTAAAAATATCGCGCAGAATTTGCGCGATACTCTTGCTTTTTATATTATATAACGCAAGTATACCAGTTATTTGTGCGTTTTAAAATAAGAAGCAAATTTTAAGAGTTATTTCTGCGCGAAAAAAATAAAAGGCATATAATAATTATTATTTTTGATGAATATAATAAAAATCAAATTTAATTATTATTTTTTGAGTTTTATTTTAAAATGCATATGATAACAGTTATAAGATGATTTTTATTTTTTTTATGATAACTGTTACGGTCCCTGCTTTTAATAGATCGTAGAAGTAGAAATTATTATAGATTATTAAAAAAAAACATTTTTGAACTTGAACTTCACGTTTATAAAGTTATATATATCTTTTAATAGCAATTTTTCTGGTTATTAGGAAAATATATTATCAGGTATACGCATACATGAAGCACTTTATGTCTGATAAAATTTTTTAATATGTATCACATTACTTACCAAATGGATATAATTGCAAGCCATGGTAATGAAATAATTAACTGTAACGTGCGCCAATCTCTAACAAAATATGCAATGCCTGCTGTAAGAACATAAGTGAGCGCTACGGGTACAATGTTTAAAATGCCTATAATAGTGCGCCATTTTCCAGAGACTAATTCTACAACCAACACGAAACTGACCACAGTCACGGTCATGCTAGCAAAACCCATTATGACACGTAATGTCATGTACATGCTTAACGATGTAGAGAAGGCTAAAATAGTGCCTGTAAAGAGAACAGCAATAAATCAAAAATATAATAAATTCAATTGAATTATAATTAAATAAATTAGTTTAAACAAAGAAAAATATTAAGCAAAAAATCAATATAAATATTATATATGTGCAAATATACAAATCATATTGTTAAAAAAAATATAAAATAAATTATACTAACATAAAAATCAGACATAAATGAAAAATAAAAAGCTTTTAAATGTATAAATATGAAGTCGCAAGCAAACAAATAAATAAATATTTCTTAAAAATAAAAATAGGTGACAAATTGATGCATTGTCAATTGCTGTCATTTGTGATCGGTACCGCTTCAGTATTGATGATCCGAATCATCGTTTGGTGAAACATAGATATTACAGTAGTCACTTGCTATTTCGAAATGATGATATTTCGACATGACATAAGAACTCATCCGCGAAATTGAAACGATGATAATACTCAAATGGTTGAACACTGGGTTCTATAGCGGCTATCACAAGACAGTCAGAATTGTTGACTTATATTTTAGACGCGCTTGCTAGTACAAATCATTTTTTTTAATATTCATAAGTACAAATATTTTATTTAAAATATACTTGATCAGCTATGAATAAAAGTAAATATTATTACTGTATTAATACAGTTTAAGTGAAACTAAACAATTAAAAATAAAAATATACTTAAATAATTCAATTATTCTACAGCTGGTTTATGATTTCATTCTAATATAACACAGCAAGTGAATTTGTTAATGAACTTTAACAGCAAATCAACAAAACTCCAAAGTGCAAACATACAAGTCAAGTACAGCTTTGGGTCAGTTTGCTAATGAACACTGACTCTGAGTTTGAAATTTGGCAGGGTACGAGTTCAACAATTGGTATTTGAAGTCTCAAGAAATTATTTATGAAAAAATAAATATAAGAAATAATTCCAAAACTGCCGATGGATGTTTGGCACTACTCGAAATAGCTGTATGGTTTCACAAAAATTCAATTAATTAATTAAAAACAATTTTATTGTTGTAATTTATTGTTGTATCTATTAAAAACAATAGTTTTCAACATTTTCAAATTTCTTTTTCATTTTTCGTCACTTTTTAATAACATATTTATACATTTATTTATGAATACTTTTTGAGGAATAAATTATAATAACTTCAACGATTTCTTTGAATAGTTTTAACGGTTTTACGATTTATTTGAAAATAAAATTTGTATAGATATCGTTAAAATACCGATTCGGTACGAAGATATAAGTGCAAGAGTGCCAAAATAACAAAATATGTTTAATTCCATTATTCCGTCATTGATATTTTATCAATTAATTTTTTGACAAGATGAATAGAAAATTAGCTTTCTCCAGGGAATTCGAAGTGGTCATTAGTGACCGATCCACCTGGAGAAACAATGAAATTAACTTAAGACAGGGTACCATAACTCACAATTATTGTATACTGATGGGTCCAAAATGGAAGATGGCAGTACGAGAGCAGGAGTTATAGGACCGAAATTCCGCAAAGCAATCGCAATGGGAAAAACAGCTTTCATTTTTCAGGCAGAGGTCCATGCCTTAGAGCTATGTGCAAGAGAATGCATACGAAAGGGCACCCGAGGTACCAAAATATGCATCCTTTCAGACAGCCAAGCAGCTTTAAAATCTTTAGCAAAATCGTTATTCCAATCAAAATTGGTCTGGGAATGCTTTCAACTTTTCAACACCCTAGCATCGAGGAACTATATTACTCTTATGTGGGTACCGGGACACGAAGGGCATGAGGGCAATGAAATAGCAGACTCCCTAGCAAAGAAGGGTGCATGTAACAAATAGCTTCACAAATAGCTTATTATGTGAACGGGAGAAACAACATCTACTTGAACACTGTAGAGCCCAAACAGGCATGCGACAGTCAAAAAGATTCATTGATCCTGATCACATCAAAGTTGCTGCTATCCTTGGCCTTAGCAGAAACGATAATAAAATCTACACTGAACTTCTTACATGACACTGTAGACTTAATTGCCACATGAAGATTATAGGTGTGGTAGAAAGTGACTCCTGTCGGCTCTGTCATGAGGATAAGGAAACATCAGAACATGTTCTATGCATCTGCCCAGCGGTGGCAAGACGTAGACACGATTACCTTAGAAGCAGGATATTGGTCCCAAGTCAAATAGGTAATATTAAGCCCACAGCAATAGTCAATAGTTATAAATAGTCTAAAATTGTCCTAGTTGAGCCTTTAGGCGCACAATAGATCTTTTAGGTCAGGGTGCTTTAATAGCCTATTACTTAAATAATAATTAATTAATTTTATTAATGACATTTCTCGAATACTTTTTAGTCCAGAGAAAAGGGCTATATATATATACACACATATATTAACAAATTTAAACCTATTTTCGACAGCTAGTACAGTGTCGTAACCAGGATTGTGTTAGGAGCCTCAGACTACACTAAAAAATATTATTTATCTAAGTTTTCTGCAGTTCATTAAAGTAATTATAATAAAATTTAGCAGCATTTTAATTTATGTTTACAGCCATTTATGTATAAATACCATATATGTACGTTTTGTCATTGGTGTTTTTGTAATTATGTTATAGAACACCAATTATTTCTTTTATATTTTTTTTTCTATTTTTTTCTATTATCAAAATTTTTAGTTAATGTTCGTGCCTAAATATATAATGATATCAGAATTGTGTGGATTTTACAATTTGTAGATTATCTATAAATTAGATTAGATTGTAGATTTGTCTACTTTATCTTCATTGATTATTTTTAATTTTGTACAATAGATTAATTATAGAACAGGCTTCGATATTTACTGACATGGGTTTATGTAAAACATGGATTTAAAAAAAAACATATATACGGTAAAAGCTCGCAAATTAAAACCACATTGTTTTTCGGTTAGTTCGAATTTGAAATTTTATAACAAATGATCAAAAAATTAACACCCTATATAAAAACTTTACTTCACAGTTGAAATCAATCCTTTTTAAGCATTATTGTGAAAAATATTGAGTAATATTTGCTAGTACAAATTTGTTTGTTTTTTAGGTTTATATAGTCAAATTTTTCATAATGTTATCGGGACGAAAAGTTAAAAGATTGGTCATGTGATCAGTAGGAAACGAGTCATTCTTTTTGTACCAGTTTATTAAGATATTGACTCTTTCAGTCGCTTTAGAATGACACACATTTCATTAGTATCATTATCGGTATTAAACTCTTATTCAGATGAGTCTTGAACATTTATCAACTTACTTATATATACAAAACATAAAAAATAACAGAAAGAAGAATTCGCTTAAAAATTACAATAAGAAGTTTTAATTTTAGAGCTCTTGGTGCAGACAATGTATTGAAATTTATTGGTTCTAATTTCTGAACAATTCGAATTTGTAAGAGTTATAATTTGTGAGCCTATAGTGTATTAATATTATAACGCAATAATGTATTAAAGCATAAGACTTCGCAGATTGTATTATAATTCCGGTGAAGTTATTTAAGTTACTTATTATTTGTAAAGCACCAACCTTGTATTTACCAACACTAAATTCAATTAATACTTTTAAATTTTTGAAGGTTATGGGTTTAAACGAGATAAGTAATAGTACGTAAATGGGTGAAGTAAACGAGTAAATAATAAAATAAAAAATAAATATAAATTGGTATGTTCTTTAATAAGGCTTCTCTAAAACATTTTAAACTTTAGAAAATATGTTTAAATCATAAACAAAAGTAATTTAATTTAAATTTATATCGAATTGACTTAAAGTTTAACTAAAAGGTAGTGTCATAAAAGTATCTGCACATAAATTTCGAAACATCATCACTGATTAATTCTTGAAATATTTAGTCAAGGGAAGTGTGACTAAACAGAGTTTGAGATTATGTCCATATTAATTGAAACAATATAAATTTTTAAGTAATAAGATACAGTTGCATTGAAGACTTTGATACGTTTAAGTAAGTAAATATCTTACTTTAATTAATTAGTTAGTTACTGAAGTGTGCCATTTATCTCGGAGTGCTTGTGTATACTCGTGTAAGTGATAAATATTAATAATATTTTAAATATTGCTTTAAAACAAATTAAAACAAAAATTATAAAAATAGAAGTTGTTATAAATTATTTTTAAAAACTAGTGTTGATATAAATGGATTTACCAAAAATAGCTTGAATGGAAGCGAAACACATTAGTGTGTGTTTGCGTCCAAAACGATCTGATATCCAGCCACTAGATACGCTGCCAATAGCAGCACCAGCCAAGAAACACATTTCGACTACGCTCAGCAAATTGCGGCGACCGCAAACTAAATTGAATTCCTCTACTAAAGTTACGGAAGTGTCACCTTCTGCATGATAGAATTCAAAATTTTTGCAATTCGTGTAACTGGTGTTGTCCTCCGCTGCCAATGTTAAAAGCGTGAAATAGTCATCTGAATCCAAAATGGTGCAACTATCACCATTTGGTTGAGTTAAGTTTTTCCACGTTGTGGCATTCATATCGAGCATATCTGTTGGGCGTGCACACCAGAAATCTTTTTCCGCTGTCTAAAACAAAAAATTACAAATAACAATAATAAAAAATAATTAAAATTTTTTTAATATAATTAAACCTGAAATGCGTATATATATATATTTATATTTACTATTCGTTTTTATAATAAATTAGTATGTGTTATGTTAACTTAATTAGTTTTTGATTGTCTATTACATATTCTGCTCTTATAATATTGTTAAATTATTTTAATTAATTAGTGCAAAATTGTATTTAATTAATACAACAAATTTATCTGCTACCTTTTTATTATTTATCATTTTGTTTTAACTGTTAAAATGTTTAATGTTTCACTTTGTTATTCCGATTTTTATTATTAGCTTCAAAACATAAAAACCGACATAAAATTTAAATTTGTTACGTTTGGTATCATTAAATTTTTTGTACTGATATTCGGAGGCGATAATTACTCCATGTCAAATATTTGTTTACTGTTTCAATGAATTGTTAGAAAAAAAAAAATAATTTGTTCAGGAAAAAATTTTGTTTATTGCAGAAAATATGCAGATTTATATCGGTAGTCGCACAATAACAGACTATCTTCTAACATATTTTGAAAAATTGTACTTTAAATCTATGTTTGGATAAAAATGCTTAACAATCTAATGAATTTTGGCTAAATAATTATTACTTAATTAATTATAATTAAATGTATTATTTATAATAAATAGATTTGTTCTTAATGATTTTTCGCAAATAATAGCACACAAGGCCTTCATTTGTGGTGATTTATTATATTATTAAAGTTTATTAAACAAAAATATATTTATTTGATTAAAAATTAAAAAAAAAAAATTAATTAAAAAAAAGAGTTCATAAAACTAATACATTATATTGATAAAAATTAAACTTTGACTTCTTCGGAAATAAAACAAATACAAAATAACTGTCAATATAATTATATATAAATATTATTTTATAAAAAACAATATTTTAATTTCGATTGTTGGGTTTTAGGTTTAGCATAAGCAATTGACCTGCGCCTCTAGGGTAATACGCGAAATTTTGAGAAATTAATTATTAAAAAAAAAATATTTATTATTTGAGATAATATCAAAATAGGTTACTTGAACTTTAAAGTTTTAGAGACCACATACATATACATGCAGTGTTTGTTTATATGTTTATATGAATTTATAATAGAAATAATTTAATAACTATAATTAACAAATTAAGATTAAATATGGGAATTTCATGTAAATAAAAGCCGGTTTTATTTAATTTAAATGAAAGAATACTTTTGTATTCATATTCTCCTAGGATCATATTAAGTTAAATTCAGAAATTAAAATAAAAAAGTAATGAATGATTACTTACATTATATAAACGATGCGATATGCACTTTTTATTTAATTCAGTAAGTAACTTTAGAAGCTTCGAACTGGTTAGCTTATAACTTTGGAACCAAGTTTTATTTAAACAGACTTGTAAATACAAAATCATAAGTTAATATTTCGTTTTTCCTAATGTGAAAAATTTTTTAAATTGGTAATAGTTTCTGAGTATGAAATATATACATATAACTGAAATAATTTAAAAAAACACAACAAATTTAAAATACAGTCTTTATAATTATTTAATAAATATATCAATAATATTAAAAAGTTGCAACTTTTTATTAAAAAACAAATTGAAATAATTATACCAAATATTTGTGGTTTTTCTAATAATTTCTTTGTAATCATATTTCATACGTCCCGTAGGTAGTACATTATAGAGTACATGTAAAATATTTTAATTACATAGTTGTATTGTGTAGTTTTTAATTAAAAAATTATTCACTGTAAATTAATTACTTAATTTTTTCTTTGTAATATATTGCACTTATTGATTATCAATCGTAGATATATTATATTTTTATTGATATGCAAAATATAATTGCCTCATAGGTAATTTCAAATGAAATAATAAAACTATTTATGTAATAATTTATTTATTACCGTAATTGATGAAAAATTCTTGTTACTTAAACAAAAAAGGTATGAAAATTTTTTTCTATCCTAGCTTAAATATTGATAATAAATATATAAATATATATATCCAGGAAATTATTTTTTAATTAAATAAGTTTATCTTGAAATTACTTCCCACTAAGTGTTAAAGTATATTTGATTACAATTTATTAAAAACTTAATTGTTATTAGTCGCTCATCTAAACAAGATTTTGTTGTCTTTTTTGCCCAGTCCTGTAAGACAATTTTACTATAATATAATATTATATGTTAATGAGTTTAACTTTAAATTAATTAGCTAGTATCTCAATAAATAATCTATAGAGTAGCAATTCTTAAGTGTACTCAACTATTACTGTTATATAAGTAAGGAATGATGTTATGGTATGGATTTTCTAAATACAAACATAAAAATGGAGTACACTTGCGAAAATTCAAGACATGCAATATTAAAATAATGATAAATTACAATAAATCATATCAAGAATTTGATAATCCAAAATCACATAACTTTCAGTGCAGTTAAATGACTTTAGAATACGTAAACGACTTCTTCCAGCAATTTTGAAAAATGTGATGAAGAGCATGAATAAAATACTCTTTACAAAAATGATCAAATAGCAATCTTAAGATCTGCAGTATAATCTACAATTGTAGTAGTAATAATCAATAAATAATATGTATATTATTCATAAGATTATTGATATAAGGTATCTGACAAATCCGATACTTATGTAAAAACATATAGAATCGCTGATACGTTACTACATCATGTATTAAATCAATGCCAATAAAATATTTAATACTGTGATTTTTGCTTAATCCCAACTTAAAAGGAGCGGAAGAAATGGTTTGTCTAATTGCAATGTATTTTAATTGAAAATCTGTATAAGAGAATTGCATATTAATATTAAATAATTACCTTTTGATTTCGTGTTATTTAGCTGAACAGTTGTTTTAAAGATACTTATTTTACCTAAAATTTATATGTATTTAATGAACTCATGTCCAATTTCGTTGTAATTATTTTAAAATTTTTAATGACAAAAATTAACAACATTTTTAAGTTTGGACTGCGCTAATTGCTATCAAATAGATTATCATAGATAGTCTCTACTAATTTCTGTTGAATTTTACTATCAAAAATCTTTGCAAAATGAAGTCTCATGCTTAGTTTTACGTATGAAGTTGAATTTTAATGTTAAAATTTTTATAAATTTTTTCATTTGTTGTATTAAAAATATGTACTCTCGTTAATTTTTAAATACCTAATAATATATACCTAATGTAACGTTTTTTGTTTGCAAATATGACAGAATATAAATCATAAATTTTAATTTAAATATAAAAAATATTTATGATGCTTCAAATATTTAATGTTGTTTCAAATATTAAATATTAAGCCTAAAAGCATAAACAGCAATTACTTTTTTGGATAATTTTTTTTATTTTTTTTAAGACATTAAAGTTTTAAATTTAAAATTTGAAAGTAATGTGTGTAACATTTTTTTAAAAACAAAAGTACCTTATTGTCAATTTTTTAATTATATTGTTTCTAAGATAATAATATGTAATAAATAGATATATAATTGAAAACGTTGAACTACGAGTTTGTCGTTGTAGTCATCAGTCAGCTGTCAATATTCACTATCAATAATTTTTTGTGGACAGTATTGAAAATTAATTATTTGTATATATAATATATGTATCTACATTTTTTATATATGTAGATTGCTTTCAATGTATAAAAATTCAATAAAATTTGATCAATAAATTTCAAAGTATCTTTGGGGGCAAACTGCTTTCAACATTTATTCAAAATTATAATATCTTGATATAGAACACTTCAAACAAAACACAGTTCAATGCATTTTACATTGAATTATATAATTTTTCAAAAAGTTTTAATTAACAATTTAATAATATTTGACATTTTTTAAAATCACCTTTAATAAAAAAATTGTTTCAAAATATTTTAAAAATTTTATCAAGCGAAATCACAACAAAATGAGAAAAAAATTAATTAAAATGTCAATACGAATTGCTACAACCGCTTCAGGTTCAGTCACCGCGCAATTTTCAATTAACATTGCACCGGAACACATACAATACAAAAAAAATGTGAATTTCAAAAAATAAGGAATTATACATATGCACGTCCCAAAAAAAATATACAAAATTAAAACATTAAAATTCACGAAAAAAAATCAAAACAATAAAATGTAACGTACAACGTGGCGTATGCGTAACAAACTCGAACAAAAATTATTGTCAGTTCGAGTGCTGAAGCACAGCAACAACAATTAATGTTATTCCAATTTGAAAGTATCAAGTTCAAAATAAATTTTAACTGTAAAATGCAACTGCATTTCAAACTCTGTATATAGGAAGCAATTAGTTTGCTTTTAAATTTGAACATTTATAATTCATTTTTATGTATGTTTACAAATTTTTATTCTTAATTTCATAAAGGTCAATGAAGTATGAAGTTACATATTTATGCATATTTAATTTTGTAGGTTTCTGTCGGAATTCAAAAATAAAATGCATCTGGGTGGCAACTCGTGATTTTTTGATATCTGCAATCAAAGCATTTTTCGTGTAAATTCGAATTATCTACACAGTGCTATCGCCTTAATAAAATCATTATAAAATACATAAAAATAAAATGTATTTATTTTTATTATTTATTTTGTTTTTGTTTTTTACATATTTTATGCTTCATTAGATTTACATGTCACGTTTAAATTTAATTGCATAGAATTAAAGCAGATAAAAGTCAATAATTTTATCGAAGCTAGAATTTGACTTAAAGCTGCGGTTTTCACTACTAAAATTGCTACATATTGTACGAGTATTGAGTATACAAATAAATAAATAAAAACTAAATGTATTGTACAAAATGCAAATCATGCAATTGTACCAATAACAAACATTAGAACACGTAAAATAACTTATATTATTTCTTATGATTCTACAAATTAAGTCTTGAAGTATTTTTTGAAAAATACTTACAAATTACATTGTAGTGAATTTAAAAT